TTTAATCAGAACCAAACACAGATCCATAGTGCTACATCCAGCCATTAATCAGAACCAAACACAGATCCATAGCGATTCATCCAGCCATTAATCAGAACCAAACACAGATCCATAGCGATTCATCCAGCCATTAATCAGAACCAAACACAGATCCATAGCGCTACCTCCAGCCGTTAATAAGAACCAAACACAGATCCATAGTTCTACATCCAGCCATTAATAAGAACCAAACACAGATCCATAGTGCTACATCCAGCCATTAATCAGAACCAAACACAGATCCATAGTGCTATATCCAGCCATTAATCAGAACCAAACACAGATCGATAGTGCTACATCCAGCCATTAATCAGAACCAAACACAGATCCATAGTGCTACATCCAGCCATTAATCAGAACCAAACACAGATCTATAGCGCTACCTCCAGCTGTTAATAAGAACCAAACACAGATCCATAGTGCTACATCCAGCCATTAATCAGAACCAAACACAGATCCATAGCGATTCATCCAGCCATTAATCAGAACCAAACACAGATCCATAGCGCTACCTCCAGCCGTTAATAAGAACCAAACACAGATCCATAGTTCTACATCCAGCTATTAATAAGAACCAAACACAGATCCATAGTGCTACATCCAGCCATTAATCAGAACCAAACACAGATCCATAGTGCTACATCCAGCCGTTAATCAGAACCAAACACAGATCCATAGCGCTATATCCAGCCATTAATCAGAACCAAACACAGATCCATAGTGCTACATCCAGCCATTAATAAGAACCAAACACAGATCCATAGCGCTACATCCAATTAATCAGAACCAAACACAGATCCATAGTGCTACATCCAGCCATTAATAAGAACCAAACACAGATCCATAGTGCTACATCCAGCCATTAATCAGAACCAAACACAGATCCATAGTGCTACATCCAGCCATTAATCAGAACCAAACACAGATCCATAGCGCTACATCCACCCATTAATCAGAACCAAACACAGATCCATAGCGCTACATCCAACCGTTAATCAGAACCAAACACAGATCCATAGTGCTACATCCAGCCATTAATCAGAACCAAACACAGATCCATAGTGCTACATCCAGCCATTAATCAGAACCAAACACAGATCCATAGTGCTATATCCAGCCATTAATAAGAACCAAACACAGATCCATAGTGCTCACTGTATGATACACAGTTTATTAAACAATCGTTGCCAGTGTTCCGGAGTTAGAGGTAAACCAGTTGGTAAAAGAGAGAGCTCCAGTATTGGGTACAACGTGTGTTTCACCCCTCTCTGTCGTCCAATGACAATGTCAGTCCCGGTCCGTATAAAAATCTGCCTTACGCTTTTCATGAAACAAACACTTTGCCAGAGGCTGGAGTTCCGTTATCAGACGTACAGTTTTATTGTCACCATACTGTGATTTAGTTTAAGTGTGTATACCCGTAATAAGCCTCAATTAAACCATTTGGGTCATTAACTGTAAAATGTAATTATAATGCACACTTAATGTGCCAAAACAGAGATGGTGTTTCATGCGGTGAGCGCTTGTTATAGATAATGATTTGCCTAGTTCACTACCGATTTAGTGATTTATAGAATTATTACTGTGTGATTCTTCTCCTGGGATTATATACTGGGAGTTAATTGTATTACACTAAAAACATTACATTAATCGGCAAATTGCACCTAAACGTGCTGCGTTTTCACATTTAATGTAACATAGAGACTGCATTGGTCAACGTTCCATCATTTTTGCAGTTATTTCTGGACATTGTGAATAATACAAACAGACTTTACATATTTAGAATAGATTAATACAGGGATAGTGAGCTTGTTTTGGAATATATTTATTTGAATAATTATAGACATGATCATATTATTATTGCCACTTCCAATATCAGCTCCTGGTCCAGTATCCAGTTTATATTATACTCTGGGTAATTGTTGTGATGAATTAAATGTTAAATCAGCGGAAAGATGGAGGGGTTAAACAGGGAGCGTTAACCCTGGATTTAGAGACAGCAGGTCAGTAGATATTTTATGAAGGACATTTTACCTGTGTATAGAATGGAAAGCAGTTCGAGGATAGTCATAGAGACAGCTGGATCAGGGAGAGTGTCAGGGTTTATGTGAGATGAATGAGACAGAATCAGTGAGATCCCAATAACAGTTTTTACCAGAAGCGATGTACAACGTGTCTCATACCTTCATGCGCACTTTGTCTCCCAGAAAGCTTCAATATCGTCTTTTCAGTTTTTTTCTTCGGCTTTTTAATATCTGTGTATAACAGATCGGACGTGTCATGTTGTGTAGGAACTAGAGTAAGAGAACAGACATGTAATTATACGGTAAATCCCATCTGTTGTCTGGTTTACTTTCAACTCAGAACAAAGGGTAAAATTTACATGGTTAAAATAGCAGTCAGATGTCTCCTTGGATCAAGCAGCTATTACCCCACTAATTAAAAATTATATCCCCGTATGTTATGTTTTTTGCAAGTATTTATCCAATTTCAGTTTAAACATCTGTATGGACTCTGACAAAACCACCTCTTCAGGCAGAGAATTCCATCCGTTTTTCCAAACTAAAGAGATTTAAATGTTTTAACCTTTCTTCGTAACTAAAATGCTCCGTTCCTTTTATCAATTTTGTAGCTCGTCGCTGCACTTTTTCTAGTGCCATGATATCCTTCTTTAGAACAGGTGTCCAAAATTGCCCAGCATATTCAAGGTGTGGTCTTACCAGCGATTTATAAAGAGGCAAAATTATATTTTCATCTCAAGAATTTATGCCCCTATTTATACATGGCAAAACCTTACTGGCCTTAGCAACGGCAGATTGACGTTGCATATTGCTGCCTAATTTGTTGTCTATAACAATTCCCAAATCCTTCTCGTGTGTGGTTATCCCTAGTTCACTACCATTTACAGGGAGTGCAGAATTATTAGGCAAGTTGTATTTTTGAGGATTAATTTTATTATTGAACAACAACCATGTTCTCAATGAACCCAAAAAACTCATTAATATCAAAGCTGAATATTTTTGGAAGTAGTTTTTAGTTTGTTTTTAGTTTTAGCTATGTTAGGGGGATATCTGTGTGTGCAGGTGACTATTACTGTGCATAATTATTAGGCAACTTAACAAAAAACAAATATATACCCATTTCAATTATTTATTATTACCAGTGAAACCAATATAACATCTCAACATTCACAAATATACATTTCTGACATTCAAAAACAAAACAAAAACAAATCAGTGACCAATATAGCCACCTTTCTTTGCAAGGACACTCAAAAGCCTGCCATCCATGGATTCTGTCAGTGTTTTGATCTGTTCACCATCAACATTGCGTGCAGCAGCAACCACAGCCTCCCAGACACTGTTCAGAGAGGTGTACTGTTTTCCCTCCTTGTAAATCTCACATTTGATGATGGACCACAGGTTCTCAATGGGGTTCAGATCAGGTGAACAAGGAGGCCATGTCATTAGATTTTCTTCTTTTATACCCTTTCTTGCCAGCCACGCTGTGGAGTACTTGGACGCGTGTGATGGAGCATTGTCCTGCATGAAAATCATGTTTTTCTTGAAGGATGCAGACTTCTTCCTGTACCACTGCTTGAAGAAGGTGTCTTCCAGGAACTGGCAGTAGGACTGGGAGTTGAGCTTGACTCCATCCTCAACCCGAAAAGGCCCCACAAGCTCATCTTTGATGATACCAGCCCAAACCAGTACTCCACCTCCACCTTGCTGGCGTCTGAGTCGGACTGGAGCTCTCTGCCCTTTACCAATCCAGCCACGGGCCCATCCATCTGGCCCATCAAGACTCACTCTCATTTCATCAGTCCATAAAACCTTAGAAAAATCAGTCTTGAGATATTTCTTGGCCCAGTCTTGACGTTTCAGCTTGTGTGTCTTGTTCAGTGGTGGTCGTCTTTCAGCCTTTCTTACCTTGGCCATGTCTCTGAGTATTGCATACCTTGTGCTTTTGGGCACTCCAGTGATGTTGCAGCTCTGAAATATGGCCAAACTGGTGGCAAGTGGCATCGTGGCAGCTGCACGCTTGACTTTTCTCAGTTCATGGGCAGTTATTTTGCGCCTTGGTTTTTCCACACGCTTCTTGCGACCCTGTTGACTATTTTGAATGAAACGCTTGATTGTTCGATGATCACGCTTCAGAAGCTTTGCAATTTTAAGAGTGCTGCATCCCTCTGCAAGATATCTCACTATTTTTGACTTTTCTGAGCCTGTCAAGTCCTTCTTTTGACCCATTTTGCCAAAGGGAAGGAAGTTGCCTAATAATTATGCACACCTGATATAGGGTGTTGATGTCATTAGACCACACCCCTTCTCATTACAGAGATGCACATCACCTAATATGCTTAATTGGTAGTAGGCTTTCGAGCCTATACAGCTTGGAGTAAGACAACATGCATAAAGAGGATGATGTGGTCAAAATACTAATTTGCCTAATAATTCTGCACTCCCTGTAGAGTGTAAGTTGCTTGTGCATTTTTGACCCCGAAGTGCATAACTTTGCATTTCTCTACGTTAAATTTCATCTGCCATTTAAGTTACAACAAAATGATAACTTCCAACTACTTTCTGTGCTACAAAATGATGTGTCAGACCTGGCTTGCACCTTAAAATACATTTATAATTTATTAATAACAAATCTCAGTCACTCTGCTCTAAATACTCTATTCATTTTCTTTTCTTGTTTTGACATATTTGTTTTCAGTTTTTACAATACAGAAAGTACAAAACAGTATTGCAAGAGCACTGCATGTGAAAACACTTACATAAATGTGAAACTTGGTAGGATTTTACATGATATGTTATATCAACTTTAGCAACCGATTGCTGGAAGTTAGGTGCACCTTCTGCTTCCAGAGTATCGGGATGAGGGACCTTGCAGCAGTTAGGCAATGTAGGGTCAGGGATTTATGTATACTTTCAGGGATGTTGTAGTGTGGCCCAAAAGCATATGTAGTGATTAAAGTGGCAGTTTTGAGCTAGAAATGTCCCTAATGTTTCAGTTCACCATCGCCCAAAAGGGGACAATTGTGGGACACGGTTACCAGACATGTAATCCGGCTCCTATTTCGGTGCCAATGTGCCAGCATTCTCCTTATATCTCACTGTGCATGTGGTGCAGGACATCAGATGTCCAAAACCCCAGCAATGTATAGCTCAGTTCTTGAAATTTATAGCTTAAAGCCTTTTTGGGTCAGAATAAAAATGTTGTCTAACTATTGTTCCATGAGCTCAACCCCCACTTCCCTCTCCCACCAACTTGTGAACCCCAAAGGCTTTCTATTATAACTTGTCAGCAGCATGGCGTAAAGGACCGAGATGCCCCAGAGATGTATATAAGCTTTCAAATTGTGTAAGGGTTGTATGTACCAGCCCTCTGCCCCACGTCGATGAGTAGTTGGTCTTTATTTGGTGGTTGTCATTCAGAAAGTAAGTTGGTTAGGCGCTTCAGTTGGGTACATTATTGATGGATGTATACCCAATCTGATAGACAAAAAGGAGAAGAGAAACGTGGTCTGTCTGGTATACCACTGTTATAGTATACCTTATAGTAAACCTAACATTGTCACAATACTGGTATTAAGTAAGCTTTACACCTGACCCTACTCTATGAGCGTAACCTCCTCTATTATCTATTTCACGATCCTGGTGAAAACTGACTCCATATTCTATTTATGCAGTTCATTTGCACTAGTACTGAGAGTAGTAGGGTATGTGCGCTTATATATTTTACCATTAGCACTAAGAACGCAGTAAAGGGCGCTTTACTAATACTTATCTACTTCGCAGCATTCAGGTGCCCTCGAAGGCACAGATTTAGGGTCCTTCGTTCAGATTAGTAGTTCAGTAGCATAGTTACCAATATTGACTATTTAAGAGACACCAGGTACCTGCGTCTAGATCTAAAGTCAGCAGAGAGCTACCATAGATATCTCCCTATTTAGTAGACATTTAAGTGCCCTTCAAGGCACAGCTTTTAGGCTTAAGAGATACCTTTCTGATCATCAGTGCCGCTCTCTATAATATCTTGGATATTGCACTATAGGTACGTATTGATAGGGTGCATTTCCAAGTCTATCAATTGACCCCTAACACTGCTAT